TCCCTAAAGGAGGTGCTGTGTGGAACAGGTGATAAGGAACCTCAGACTGAAGCTGTGGCTCAGCTTGCACAAGAGCTTTACAACACCAATCTTCTTATTGCACTCATTGCAAACCTGCAGAAGATTGATTTTGAGGTGATTAACTGTTTCTGTCTCTTAACAAACTTCAGGAAGGTAGGGAGTAGTGCTGAGTATTGGCTATATTTTGGTGATAAGATGCTGTGTATATTATGACATGGGGTCACGACATGATATATCACAATATATTGCAATACTGTAAGCAAGGCGATATGTCATTTTTTCTACAAAAATTCTAATTTGAGGAAACTCATTATTTGTGTATTTTGTTTCATATTTCTTATTTCATTCATGTTTTCACTGATTAGGCCAAATGTGTTATTAAATAGTTGAATAATATATTTGTGGCAGCTTTTAGATTTATAATATTTATTATAAAAATATGGTCACCCACCACACTAACAATATCTAGTAAACTGATGAAAGGAAGCTACATTCTGTACGACAGTCGACTTCTGGAAGTGAGTATTTCCTCTTTTTGGAAGCCAGTGGTTGAAGCAAAAAGCAGTGTCTGAGTACATAAACAAAACACCTACCTTCTGGGTTAAATTATGGACATATCGGCTAATAAGGGACAGTTGGCAACCCTACCTCAGCTCTGAAGGCAGCGTGTGTCTGTCTAATCTGCTCAGATTCAACCATCGGGACTTTTTACTGCTAATGTTTACTCACATTGCTAACGCTTGAGCTAGTGTTATATTCTCTCACTGCCAGCTAGTGGCCGGAGGCTAAACTACAACACAAAAATGAACCCCTGGCAAGAAAGTTTACATTTTAAATCTTTAATTAAAAATATGAAAGTATGAGTTACTTTAAATATTTACAAAGTGTGGGGGTATTCTTGAAGCATCGATACCTTAAGCAAAAATATTTGTTCACATCTCCCATTTATCTGTCATTCTCTCACAGGGCAAAAAGGACGTGGTTCATTTGTTTTCCAATATTGTGAGACGTCAGATTGGCACTCGCACACCCACAGTCGAATACATTTCTACACACCAACAGATCCTCTTCATGCTTCTGAAAGGGTAAGTTGAGCTTTTTTAATTTATATGAATGTCTGAGTGATCACTTTCATGTTTTAAACTTACAGGTGCAAAGTGTAACACCGTGAGATGTTGTTGTGTTAGGAGAATTTACAAAAATGTCTTTTTTTGGCAATTTGCTTTTCCTCCCCAGAAACATTTTGTAGGTTGCTCTCCCTTTACCGTATGTGTTTCAACAACTCCCAGAGGAGCAGGCAGGAACTTGTTGCCTTCACCTGTGGGTTTCACATGCTGATTGAGAGATAGAAGAGTGCTGGTTTTACAGCTCTGAGCTATGCTGCTCCTAGATTTCAGAGTCTGTGTTCAAGGTTCCCGCGGATCCTTAAAAAGTCTCAAATAAAAGGCACTTTTTTTTTTTCAGTAAATCAGCTGTGTTTCATGTAATTGGATGAGGTTCATCATCATTAGGGCTGGGTATCATGGTCAGTTCTCTAAATCGATTCTATTTCGATTCATTAAGTTCAGAATCGATTAATCACAATTCACTTTGATTCGATTCAATTCAATGAAAATGTTTATTGATATTGATCACCATTTTTTTCTCTTCAACATAAACAAAAGGTTTTTAAGGACAAACTTTTAAATTAAACTGTTTAATCTTGAAAGAAAACTGTCACAAGTATAAAAAGTTTTAAAGTAAAAAGGAATTGCTGGTGACAGTGTTGTTGGATGCATTCATTTTTAAGTAATTAATAATTATTTTGATAAATAAGAAGTGATGGGAATTAGGTTGCAGGAGAAGAGGTGGGCTAATATACTGTAAATATATTTCTGCCCACTCCTTTTGAGTGTATGAAGAATTGTGAATGGGTGTTCTGAACTGTAATTTCGTTGTGCTCTGTATAATGATCTTATCTTATCTTATCTTATCTTTGTATATTTGTAATGTTTCTGTTGCCTTCTGTTATGTTCAATAAAAATTATTAAAACTTAATACATATAACTTATTAAAACAACTACAAAATTTCATCACTGTGATTTCATTAAGACGTTTCTTAAAGTTTAAAAATAGTAATATTGGTAACAAAACTAAACGATTTTGTTAGAGTATCATCTTTAACACATTTAAACATGCCAGTGGAGAACAGTTCAGTCAGATATTTACATAACGTAGTTTGGTTCCAAAGCCAAATGAGCCACTCGTCAAACCCTTCTTCGTTCTCGCTACCATGTAGGTGCGCAAATCTTTGCAAACAAAAGTCACCATGGTCTCTGTTATCTTTAAGTTTTGCGGAGAGTCGGCTGGTAACGTTAGTGATTCCTTAGTTTCTTTTGTTTTGATCCAGACAACTTTTCGAAAGCTAATGTTAGCACTGAACGTCAACCGTATGTAAATATACGGCAAGCCAGGAGTGACAAAATATAGAAACACTCCTCAGACGCGCACACAAGAGGCCATGGGGAAGAATCGATCTCATGTCCTGTGAATCGATTTTCCCAAATTTAAATGAAATCGATCCAAGATTGATTAAATCTATGTTTTTACCCAGCCCTAATCATCATGTGTTTAACTTGACTTGGACCTGATGTGTGTTGACCTGCACAGATATGAGAGTGCAGAAGTGGCTCTGAACTGCGGCATGATGCTGAGAGAGTGTCTGCGTCACGAGCCTTTGGCCAGGACGGTGCTCTTCTCTGAGGATTTCTTCTGCTTCTTCCGCTACGTGGAGCTCTCCACCTTCGACATCGCCTCCGATGCCTTCGCCTCGTTCAAGGTGCACATCTTTCTCCATGCATTTCCAAACGCTGCCCCAACAATACAAGCTGTTTCTAGTTCAATGTTTTTTTTTTCTCAATCAGGATCTACTCACAAGACACAAGATCATGTGTGCAGATTTCTTGGAGAACAACTACGACAGGGTGAGTTTCCTGGTTTTAGTTTTTACTGGACCTCCTCTCATTCTGAGCCTAACCTGCCCTTCAAATGTTCACCAGGTGTTTACGGAGTACGAAAAACTTCTGCATTCTGACAACTACGTTACCAAACGGCAGTCTTTGAAGGTACTCACACCTGCACTGTCCTGTTTTGCTTTATTTCTAAACCATGTTTGCTTTTTATTTGTCCTCTCATTGATTCATTTATTTTCCAGCTGCTTGGGGAGCTTCTTCTTGATCGACACAACTTTACCGTCATGACAAAGTACATCAGTCGGGCCGAGAACTTGAAACTGATGATGAACCTGCTGAGAGACAACAGTCGTAACATCCAGTTTGAAGCATTCCACGTCTTTAAGGTGTGCAAGTTGTAAAAATATACATGATTTTTATCCACATTTACCAGCTTTAATTAGAACTTGAACATTTCAGACAAAGGTTTACTAAATCTTTAAGTTAATCCACTTTCTTCTCTAAAGCCCAGAAGTTATTTTGGACATACATTTAAATACTGTAAACTGACAAAATGCTGAAGATTGAGCATATAAACTGTATAAGTTGAGCAAAGAGAACCAAGGTCAGCAGAAATGTTAAAGCTGCTGCCAACGGCTCATTAGTCACCACCACACACCTGTGTCTGCCACTTCCTGACAGCTCTCAATAAGACAGGCAGAGGAAAATTTAGGCCTCAGTAAGCCTAATTATAGTCACATGAAAACAATCAGGAACTCTTAAGAGGCACAAGTCTCTGGTTATCACACCAGTTTTTAGACGATAGGATCTGTCAAAAAGACTGTAGAATTAAGAGCTCAGATTCAATGGAAGTCAGTGTGAATCTGGATGGATTTAAGAGAAAACAATAAAAGATAAATATACCTATTAATATATAACTGTTTAAGTATTTTTAAGTTTGTGGAAGTAAGAAAAGTCCCCCCCAAATATATATAGGGAAGTTTAGGCCTTGTTTATACATGTATCTTTTAAAATGTTAATTTTTCGATGGTGATTTTGAAAAAGTTACAGGTTTACGCAGTATTCCTGGGCTTATTGAATCCATTGGAGTTTCTGTGCTAGGTCACCTGCTGGCGCTGTGATTTCTGTACTTCAACAACACACACATACATTTCACCCAACATTGTACTAGAATAGTACTAGTATAGTATCACAGTATATGTGATAGACGGTAGAAATGGTATGAAGTTGGCCAATGGTAGAAATTTACCCTCTACCGTCCTATCATCAGTTTTGTCATGACACCTGTGTCAACAGGGCTGCGAGTGCAGAGACACCTGAGCAGGAGTTCAAAATATAATGAAGAGATATAGTTTTAAAACACGTATAGAGAGAATAAATCCTCAGTTTCCCCCTCCTTCTGGAGAAAAGTTACCTCGTGTTGTGGGTCATTTCCTCCATCCCTCCTTCTGCTTGTCACACATTAACAACCGTAATTTTTTCACACCCGAGTTGTCGAAGAAAAACCTTGTTTTTTATGTATTGTTACCCACAGAGATGATTTAAAAAAAAAAGACGTGGACGTTCGTTCAGTCATAAATCCATCTTGCTAATGTAACAGTTCTGCTCTGAGAGCAGCAGCCGATAAGTTCAGCAGACAGAAGCTCATTGAATGGCAGGCAGATATTACATTTATTTGACTTCACCACACTTACGGTAATTTCCAGTTATCTGAAATTGTTTTATGAGGACTATGTGCAGCTAAAGCCTCTTAAGGTCCTGTCACACTATAACATTTTAGGCAACTTATGCCAACTTAGATTTTTTTTATGTCTAAATGACTAATTTTACTTGAAATACTGGTTATAACATCCACTTTATTTTGAAATTATTGAAAATTTGAGAAATGTTTTTGTTGTTGAAACGGTTTTGCAGTATATATAAAACATACTTTTGTATGCTGCTATGTTCATTTGCACTACAGCAAAAATGCTGGGTTTGATTATGATTACAGTTTTCTGCAAAAAAATGCTCTAAAAATGACATTACCTTTGCTTTGTATGATAATTTTCTACCGCGACATATACCGTTACCATGAAGGGATTCAATTTATACCGTGAATTGAATTTGAGGTCATAATGCCCAGCCCTACATTGTACAATTCTCTGCTACCAGAAGTCACAGCGAACTACAATAAATTGAGCTGTTTTGATGTTTTTATACACAAGTTTATCCAAAGCTGAAGAAGGAATAAAAACTGTGAAAGTAATGGAATAATAATAAATAATAATACGCAGCTTTTCCCCTACCATTATTCAAGCC